TAATAGTACTTTACTTACTTACGTCGTTACGTACGTTAGTAGTAAGTAAGAGACACACACACACATATATATATATATATATATATATATATATATATATATGTGTGTGTGTGTGTGTGTGTGTGTGTGTGTGTGTGTGTGCACTACTATACAAATAACATTTGAATGTGATCAACAATGTATATAAATACGACCTTTCACCTCGTGCCTTATATCGTCTCTGTAATTTGGCTTGCACGGCTCTGTGTCATGCTCACCAGTCAATTCGCGAGGGTACAAGAATTAAAGTAAACGTTACCGTATCAATAAGGGCTATGAACACATACAATCTCGGACATGGCCGTTTCCAGGTCTTCTGAAGCTTCCTTGGTTGGTGTTGACGGGGGCGACGAGGCTGTGGGTGTGTTAGCACTGTTGCTTGTCCAGGCGCCAAAGATATGTTTAGTTGTGCTTCTATACGTGCCGCTAATTGTGCTGCCTAGAGACAGCATTGTCCACACGACACCCTACTATTATATACGGTGTCTCTTCCAAATAAAAAAGTATAGGAGACTGTGGGCTGGTGCGAATCAACGCATATGGAAGTCTCGCTGCAGAAAGATATAAGTACTTTTCAGCGGTGTCTTGCGCGTACAGGGTTACCTAGATCCGAGGTGTCTGGTCCTTTCGTTAATTGTTCGCGGATATGCCGATATATGCATGTGCAGTGTACACATAATCCATTTGCAGGCAGGTCGCGTAACTAAGCGTTTATGTTGGAGTGCGATGCGTCCCTGGTTCGCACATCGCCAACATGCAAGTATTTTTGAATAAAAAAAGTGGAGAATGGCTCTTAGAAAATTGATATCTGAGTGTTTTCCGACGGGCCGAGGCCCGACTGACCCGATTGCCCAAGTCCTGAGCCCCGAGCCCCGAGCCCCGAGGCCTGAGTCCCGAGGCCTGGGTCCGCCTGAGTGCGTGTTTTTATTGCACCCACAATTTACAGTTTTGCACCAAAAGGCTCCAGAGCAGAACCGCAGATCCCCAGGCTGTATTTTCAACCAAAAAAAAAGAGTGTAAAGTTTTGCTTCTGGTTTCTCCAATAATCAGGTATTTTTAACCTTTGCACCCAAATATATATTTTTCGGGTATGTATTCTAATTTTCTGGACAAGCATTAACTTTTTTAACAAAGTTTATTTATAAACTGTATTGATTAGTTTATATTCATCAATACAACGGATTTAGATGGTGATAAGAATAAACTACCAGTAATATACCTCAACATAATTTCAAAGCTCAAAATTAAATGGATAACAGACGACGAAGAAGTTGACGAGCTGCTGCTTCGAGGAAGTTCTCGCTCTCTTGTCTCTACTCTCTCTGAGAGAGTGGAAGAGAGAATGGTGGAGAGTAGTAGACTGTAAAAATAGACTCAAAGTCATAGACTCATAGTCATCGATGTGTATGTATTTAGACTGTATTATGTTGTTGTTTTTATATATTAAAATACAAAATAGATAGTGTAGACTCTATCTGGTCTCTTGGTGTAAATATTTACTGTAAGAAGTGTAGTATATGTATTATTATTATTTAAATTGAAGAGAGAAAAAAAACTGTAGTGTAGACCGTGTATTTATTTACATTATATAAATAGTATGTAAATGGAGTGTAAAACTGTTTTTTTTAAATAAGTGGATCTAAAAAGTTTTTTTAAAGTGCCTTAGCACGGCCTCTGGATAGAGTCTCGAGCGGAAATCAAGGTTTCTCTCTACAACAAATCGGAAATTTAGCATTGACCCAAATCCAGATTCCAGAGGGCCGTGTTTTGAGTGTAAATAGAAGAAAGTGTACTGGGTCCTCATTCCTCAGTCCTCAGTCCTCATCAGTCCTCAGTCCTCAGTCCTCAGTCCTCAGTCCTCAGTCCTCAGTCCTCAGTCCTCAGTCCTCAGTCCTCAGTCCTCAGTCCTCAGTCCTCAGTCCTCAGTCCTCAGTCCTCAGTCCTCAGTCCTCAGTCCTCAGTCCTCAGTCCTCAGTCCTCAGTCCTCGGAGTCCCCTCTCAAGCTCTCTCTCTCCGTCTCTTGAGAGTCGAGACTCGAGAGTGTGTGATGAGTCGAGTCTCGGAGTCTGATTTTAGAATCTCACTTCTCGAATCTTTTGGTCAATAGCCGTGATAACAGAGGCGAATAGCGAGACTTTTAATTAATTACTTGTTAATCTAATTCTGAATTCATTCATGATATATACGCAGATTGATTTTTTGGCCCAATTATAAGTGAAGAAATGTTGAATTTTCTGGATATTTGTAAAGAGTATCACCTGTGTCGGCCTGTCAGCCCATTTTGACTTTTGATTTTGTAGTAGGTATTACATAACAGTGTAGGATGTATTTATCGAGAGAAAAAAAATGAAAAAGGCGCCATTTTGGCGCAATATGAATATGCGCTGCAATTTTAGAGCAGAATATCGTCGCGATTCTATTTTGTATTTATTTGTTATTTGATTATAGTATTTATCTAAAGAGCATCACAACCACCTTATATTTACTAATTAAAACAGCGCACAAGTAAATACATATAGCTGAATTTACCATGACTATTCTCGATCTACAGATCAAGGCCGACCTTGAGAATGTGACCGATCTTACCACCGATCCCGATGACTTCCGTTGGTATTTAAAGGTTCGCTGCGGGTGTGGTGAGGAAAACAATAAATGGCTTTACCTCGAAGCCGACGATTTTACCGAGATACCCGGCGCCCGAGGCGGCGAGGCGAATTTGGTGGTGAAGTGCGACTTATGTAGCCGAACTAATTCAATCTCACTTGTCGACAAACCAGTGCGTGCGTACACCAAGTCAGGCGAATACCAGACTATAGCGGCCTTCGATTGCAGAGGGGTAGAACCGATTGCCTTCGACCCAAGAGTATGTTCACAATGGGGCGCACAAAACACATGTACGCACGCACACAAGCACGCACAATACACATAAATGCATACACAAATACACCTACACTCACTCACTCACACACATACACACACGCACACATGCACAAGAAACACACACAAATACATAAGTAAATATATCTATACACATGCAATACATAGGTGTATATACATATGCACATATATAATAAATATATATATAGCTCCATCAATATATATATATATATATATATATATATGTAGTATATATATATATATATATATATATATATATATATATATATATATAGTATATACTATACTA